GATGATGATGGTGATGATGATGCAGAAGAAGATGATGATAATGGTGATGGTGCCGGTGAGCTTGATTGCTGTTGTTCTGATTACTAGGACGAGTATGTATGATGACAGTGCTGTCATCTGTGGTCCGTGATCACGATGAAGGAGACGTCCGAGATGAGAGCAGTGGCTAGAATGACGAGGTTTCGAAGTGGCTGCGGATGTGAAGGCCCGGGCCTTAGAAACAGTTGTGGTCATTCAGGTTTCCCCATCTCGCCTTGTTCTCATAGGCTTAGCTCACAAGACCCAGATGTTCGGCCCCCTTCCCTGAGTTCACCGCGGTGCGCGCTATCTTGGGGTGAGGTTCGGTTGAAGCCTCTACAGCGACTTTTGTACAGGGTGGAAGTCTTCCGTTGAAGGGTCTGAAGCTGGCTTGAATCGTTTCGGGTCACAGCAGGGCCCACCCGTGCAAGACCTCCACTAACTGCCTCTCCCACCCAACGCTGGGGTCAGGGAACAACGGCTGATAAGAAAGCAGATGTAAGCTCAGAGCCCGCATTTGATACACCGTGGCATACCTGACGAACGTTGCGCAAGAACTCCGAGACGGAGCCAACAAAAGCATACACAGAAGTCTGTGAATTGTGAGTAAAATCTCAATCCGTTCGACTGCGCAAGCGAGATGCGCTCCCTCTCCAATGGCACAATCACCGTCATGCGACATCGTAAAGGATGCATCAAGGTCCGTCCGGAGACATCCACATGCACCTTGGCTGTGACATTTGCTGCTCGCATGCCGGTGCGCTTGTCCGGCACATCACGAGGCCGCCACTGAGCATGTCAACAAAGCTGTGGGGTGTGCAACCCAGCACGCAGATAAACCAGCCTCACCGTCAAGGGCGATGATGGGCGATGTACGCAGGACGAAACACAGATCGCAGCTGGGAACATACAACATCGTACAACCGGAACCTCGCTCGCCTCGCTCTTTGATTGCCCCTTTCATCCCCTTTCATGGCTTTGGCCTTCAGCGCTGGACGTCAATCCTGTCACGGAGGTACCGCGGATACCAGAGCCAGGCCTCAGATGATCTGCGTTTACATCACATTGCTGAAGCACAACAGCCTAGCCTGGCTTCGCTCAGCTTCAACTGAAGACTTGACACACAGGTCCTAGGATTGAGAAAGCCACCTTCAGGATAGCTACCGTGAGGACGGGTGCTCAAGGCTAGGCAAAACCACTTTGCCACTTTGCTGTCGGGGTACGCTGGAGGAACCACCGCTACCAGCGTCATGTCGGCATGGGTGCCCTTGGCAGCACGAGCACAGAGACGGGTTTCAAGGGTTACGTAGACCTTAAAGCTCACCTCCCCGCTTCATTCGTAAATGGACCCGTCGGCCTATCGCCTGCGAAGCTACAGCAAGTACAGAGGTCCACAGGCGGCTGTAGTTCTTGTACAGCGTCGAAAGTCATACTAGTTACGAGTTACCAGTTCGAAGTCTGAATGGAATCTTGCCAAGATGCACCTTTGACTGGACACCAGCTCACTTCAGACATCAGGAGGCTTTCAACCTTGAGGTCAAGACTGACAGTCGCTCTATCTAGCCTGGATGTCCTCAAGCAAGCATCAAATTCGAGACTTGCACCACTGGCACTGGCTCTTGAGAGGAGTCTTCAACCTCGGTGAGATTTATGTCGCTTCGAAGTGTTTGCTGCGACTCCTCCTCCCCCGCGAGACTGCGATCTGAGAGTCACACGACCAAAGACAAACCATCTACGTTGCATCGCAGCGACGTTTCCTCTCCATTCTCCTGGTGCGAAGGAACTGATATTCGATTGGGTCATTGGCTGTGAGCCTAGGGCCATGTATCATGGCAATGGGCGACTTCGTATGAGGTTGGGAGAGGGTCTTGTGACAGCTCAGGGCCAAGTGTCCGAGAAGTCCATCACTGCCGCAAAAGCTTCTGCCACAGATGCGAACCCAGCTCCTTGGAACAAGGTCACATCGCTTTGATGGGCTTGGGAAGAGCTAGGGCGCACAACCTCGTTTCCAAACCGGGGAGCTGTTGACTGTGGCCGGTTTCAGCGCTCGGGCATCTTGCCCATGGCAGCTGTGGAACCAAAAGATTGGGCTAGGGGAGGATGAAGAAGAGGATGGGAACATGCCTGAGTACGGTTTTCGAATCACACGCCGAAGACATGCACTCAAGTGCTCCAAGTGGCTACCGTCCTTCTCTTCCATCTATGCATTCACACATTCGCATCCACAACCTGAAAAGAAGCAAGGGCCGCACAATCGTTGCGGGAGAACTTGCGACAAACCGATCAGGCGACGAAGAAAGCCGTGTGCAGTGAGCTCTCGGATGAAACGCCCCACCCTTATACGCAGCCCCAACTCGAGTCTTTCCTAGCGCCCTTGTGCACCATTTCTCCCCCTTCCGATGCCCCGTTCCTGCTTTTCTAATTAACTTCTGACCAAGCTCATGTCTCATGCTATCTCAGCACACCTCACTTTGCTAGAGCTTAGCTGGACCGCCTTCTGTCAGCTTGAAGGCGCGAGATCAGCTGCCACAGGCATGTCTGAAAACATGCTCACATGGACTTGAGCCACAATGCTGCACACGTCCCAGCACCCAGTACAGCTGAGGGTCAGCTCCATGAGCAGGGAATCCCTTGCTGCCGCTTCTCAAACCTCTCGAGCGGTTCCAGGCAAGCGGCCAGTTCTCGTCCACATCAGATGGTCAGAAGGCTCTTGCCTGCTACACTCTTTGAGTAGGACAAGGGGCGAAGAGGCGCCTCAGCGAAGCCTCACATTGGAAGCTTGCATAGGGTCTCCCTGCTGGGAGCCTCAGAAACCGCCGATGCTAATTGAACTACGAAGGTGAAACTTCTATTCAGGTCTTGAAGAAGGGTATGTCCGTGATGGGGCGTCCACACCGCTTTGCAATGCCTTGGTGGAAGCAGCTAAACCCTGTTGGTGCTGCATGACGTCTGGGAGGGATGAGCGTCTGACCATTGATCATGTCTCGAACCCTGGTCAGGGACGAGCTGTTTGCTTCCAAAGCCCAAACTGCGAAAGACCAGACTAGCCAAGCTTCTGGTAGAGTCTCCAATCTGTCTTCTGGTCGTGGATGACCCACTTGGGAACCTGTGGCGCACTCCACAGCCACCCTCCCTCCCACGGCACAGCAGAAACAAAGAAGTCCCACCAAGCTCCGAGCACAGGTCCGACTCAGCAGTCGCAGCGCAGAGAACTGGACATGACCTGAGACCGGCTTCTGTGTGAGGAGTCGCCAAACCCCGGCCACCTGTCGAGATTGTCTCAATGCGACCATGAGGCAGGATTTCAACATGTGCTCATGCCCTTGATCACCACAGGCTGCGTCACACCTTGGCTCTGTGCAAGAGCGAACGACACTGGTGCACCCTGTATGCCCTGTCCCACTGCTACAGAGCGACGGATTTGGGAGTGGCCCATAGGCTTGGCCATTCAAGCCTGACATCACAGGCCCTTCCAAGAGCACTCCGAAAGTACTCGTAGCTTCCGTAATCCTCTTCGCATTCTTGACATGAGGCAGGCTTGGATTCCCATGCAGGTGCCGCGCACAGGGTCCTCGCCGAAGGTGGCTTGAAGCTTTTATGACACTGAAAACCCCGTGTCTACGAGATGTCAACCCAGGAAGTCAAGGCTGAAAGCGCAACCTCACTCTTGAGACTGTCCTTCGCCAGTTCCCGGCAGGTCGTATCCGCACCGTAAATGGCGTCAAAGCATTTGCCCTAGGCACCAAACGTCGTTGCAAGTTCACGTGCAGTCCAGCTCGAAGCTCGAGTGCACACAGGAGACGACGACTCAACATTGGACTCAACATCAGCCGTGTTTTCTCTGAACTGTGCAGCTCTGGCTTGCCCTTAGACTTCCCTGCCTCTGCCCCCTTTTTGGCCGTCCTAAGATAAGTCAACGGCTGGGTATGAAGCACAGAGAATGAGCCGTTTGCTTCCCACACGAACGACCGAAATGGTCCGAGGCTCTGCACACAATCAAAAAGGGTCTGGTTGAAGACCTGGCATCGAATTCCCTTCTCAGCAGCTCAAGACTTCTCGATTCCAACCGGTTGCACCGTGTCGTAGTTCGCATCACCAGAATTCAGAGCTACGCCACCTGGGCTCAGGGTGAGTCAAGCCGGCACTGCCTTTCCAAAGTCAAGCGAGCCACGAAAATCGCCGCGGCTCCTCATCGATATGACATCTCGAGCATCGTAGCTGGTCCTTCGACTGTACAAGACATGTTCTCCATTACTTCTCGCCTCATGGAAACCGAGCCTGGAGGCTTCCCATCGATGTCGAAGGGCAAGTGCTCCCACGATGGCTACAAGACCTGTCAAGTTCGGACACGAAACCGTGGCTGTAGAATTTTCACAACTCTCCTCCCGGGTCTTTTCCCAGCCACCCTCCAAAACAGCATCCCTTTACACCTGCGCGTTCGTTCGCATGGTGGGCTACGCGAGCCCGGCACAGGCATCCAACACTTCAACAAAGTTTCCAAGTCTAGCACTGGGCAATCCAAACTTGGCAAAATGGCCATTCTGTGCAACCGAGCTCATGATCCAACGCTTGAGCATAAAGCAGCGCCTAGGGCAACTCGTCGAATCCACGGATGCGTGCAGACTGGCCAGTCCTGCGCGAAGGCTTCCAAGTTGCAAGCTGAGGCAGTACTTTGACTTGCTGGCCTGGTGCAGAGACGTTGGGTCACTGAGCATTTCGAGATCGTCATGCTGTTCAACCTGTCCCACCATGGTTCCAAGTAAAGCTCAACAGCATCCCAGGTGCTTGAACCGAATGGCGCCTTCAGCAAGCGGATCTCTCCTGAGGATGAGCTTATGAACTTCGAAGATAATCAGGCTTTCGGGGTGACGGCCGATATGCACAGTGGAAACAAGCTGGTGTCCTTCTGCGCTCTGCCTTATGCCAATCTCAAGTACGGCATCATGCAAAGCCTACCGAAGGCATCCAGATCCTGCACCTCACATCTCTGAGGACGTGGCGACGCCATCGTGCAAGCTTCAAGGCCCAGCACTGAGCCATGCTATGCAGAACAAGTGGCCGTGTGCCAAAGCACAGTATCAGAGTGCAAGTCCAAGTGCAATCGTCAACAACCCTCGGCGATGCGAGTCTCTTGAGCAGATCTTTTTGAAGCAACTCACGAATGGTCGAGAAGCACTCCATGCACTCGTAAAGCAGGCATCCATTGAGGACTTGCCTCTACGCAGACATGCAAAGAACAAATCAGAGAAGCATGCTCGTACACATTGTAGACTACATGCTCTTGAGTTCGCGTGTGCAAGATATTGCTAGGGTGCCAATTCGGCACGTGAAACGAACCAACATGAGGTCGATCATGAGCTGCAAAAACTAGTTAACGCGACAGGCTGGCACGAAGCTGCAGTTGCCTTTCTTTGTTCAGCAGAAATGTGGTCGAGGTTGGAGACGTGATGAGATGTGCAGATACTACAAGATACACCTATATTATTCCAGGTAATGTGGATGAACCGAGACCGGTCCTGCTATATTCGCGCCGACAGGTCGACAAAGATTCGGCTGACTGAGACGATGAGGATCAGCAGGAGCCTCGCCGGCAAAGGCTTGACGAAGTCTGCAGGGAGATCCACGGAGGAGACGAGGCTCGAGGACCCTAGTGCTCACCCTTTCGTGGCCCCGACGAGAATCGCGCCCCGTGGCCAGCAGCGTTCGTTCGGGCTTGCGCCTTGCAGAAACAAGGATGTTCAGCTTGCGCGGAGAAATGCTCGCAGAATTTCCAAGACCTGACAAGCGGATGCCAAGCTCCAGGCTGCGACATTTATGTCGAACGGAGATGCTTGACCCTCGTAGTAACCTCTCAGAACCAAGACTTTTAGCAAGGCTGCTTCAGCAAGACACACGCCAGGCCTGTCATTACGTGGACAAACTCCATTGTGATGTCTTTCATCGCAAAGATGGACCAGGTGTTGTCGTGCGGGTAGACGGCTGCAAGAAATACATGAATCAGCTGCGCGCGACAATCCGACAGCCGAACTTTGTCAAATCTCAGGTGCTGGCTTGGATTGCTCACCTCGAAGCGAATGTTGTAAGTACCAACTTCCTGAGACGGTCCAGGCATCTTCAGCAACAGTGGTACTCGCATCGTTGGGCTTAGGGCCACCAGCGCCATCTCATCCAGGTAAAGCGACCTGACTATCAGAGGCTTCCCCAGCCCACTTCGACGACTTTCTTGCACTTGCCGCTCAGTCGCAGAAGATCGCCAGCAACTTGAGTGGGAATCGCCAGTCGCAAGGGAAGCGGCTTCGGCAGCACACTCACCTTTCTGGAAGAGGTCTGAAGATTGCAAAGCCTGGACTCTGGAAGTTAGCGCTTCCACGGGAAGCGACTTGGTTTGGACTTCCGGCTTTGCTTCTTCTTCTTTGTCCAGACATGCTTTGCGGCTGTGGCCACTTCTTCCCTAAAGGAAGAGCAGGAAAACGCCTCTACCTCCCACACAGAAGTGTCCGAAAATGACACGCCACTACATCTGCAGTTTCTGCCAGCGGCAGGTGCACGTTCTTTGACTGTAGGGAGACCAGGACACTGTGTCTCAAGCCGCTTGTGCCGATCAGCCTTGCTCACTACACGCGGCCCCCGCCTTCATCACCCCTTGCCTTTCTGTGCTTCACGCTCTTGAGCTTGCCGAGCAAGTCGCTCAAAGTATTTTCGGTGGGATCTGCTCCACTGTCGTCGTTTCAGCTTCTTTGCAAACACGGCATTGTGAGAGTGCGTGTGGGAAAGGCTTTGGATAATTGAGGGCTCCTCCCTGCAAGCAGCTCGAGCGCCCGAATCGAACTTCCCTTCACGAGGGGCCCTGCCTCACGCAGTCAGCAGGCCGGAAAGAAGACTTTTTGGGGGCCCTGATGGTCATTCCGCAGAGACCATGACCCCTGCATCCCCTGCGCGCATGCGCTTCGGGAAGTGTGGCTCTCGTTGTTTCAGTTCCCTCTTTAAGCCCTGACAGAGACTCTCCGGTCACCCATAGCATGTCCACAACTAGTTAAACTAGTTCGTCGGCTTCCCGACGGAGACACAGTTTCGCATGTGCAAGAAACTCACGAGTCAAGGCCAAGTTGTAACAAGTTTCTCAAGGCGCCAGAAGCATCCAGAAGCCAACGAACTGTGAAGCCCTGGCCTTCGCTGGATCTTCATTGAACATGATGCCCTCCGGCCTGGGCCATTGAGTCCGAGCCCACTTCTGCCGTAAGAGTACTGCAGGTTTGCCGTAACCTCCCTGAGGCAGCCACGCTCGCACCGTGAATCTCTGTAGCGTTCCTGCAGGGATCTCGTGGAGCACTCGAATCTGGATCAGCACCTTCACAACCAAGCCGTTGACGATTGACTTTCATGCTAGGCAATTCGAAAGGTACCAGTTTTAGCATGGTCCATGTGATCTACTTAGATGCCGACGTATGCCAACACCCGCGGGTCGGCATTTGTCCAACCTTGAACGCAAGTCTGGATCTCTTCACAGGTTTGCACAGTGACTGGAAACCAGCAGCATGTGCTGCAAATCTCAGCTGCTAACCAAGTCCATTGCACCGAATCGGAATGGACTTCAGGTCCAGCCCGGGAATTCGAAGATTCGCATCGAAGGTGTCCCTGCTATGGTCCTTCTTAAGTCATGACTTGTTCATGCACTTCTCTGGCATTTGTTCCGGAGATGGCAGGGTGCTGGTGCTTGCTGGGGGCTTGTGGTGTGGGACCATGCATGCGTCTCTTTCTCACATCGCTTACCTCGATCGTTCCTTTCTTGGCTCCCTGAACAACTTGCAACCTATTTCCATGTCACGTTGCTATCGAAGCTACGTGCACCACAGACAGGACCCGAGTCTTTGCGCCGCGTGCAGCAGATGTCATGTGGCTCTGAGGTGAAGGTCTACGTTTTTCAAACGGCGGCATCTTCAAGATGAGCGCATGATACAGCAGAACCAGTGGCGAGAATAGCAGCAGTCAAGATAGAAACGGCAAGGGCCTGGCGGTTTCAGTCCTGCTCTTGTCATCGAATGATGAAGATTATTGTTTCTGGACATTGCTAGCACGTGCGTGCATTTGTCTTTCATCTGCCGCCCACTTTCGAACACACTGGTCTCGCTTCGATTTCGATGTTCAACGTACCTCGCTTCCTCTTCATAGACACTGTTTCTCCGGAATGTATGAAATGCCCCCAGCTACACCTGGCCAGCAGACCCACTGGAGTGTGCACTTTCTAAGCCGTTCATTGCAACAACGGTTGAATGCTCCTGGGTAAGATGCCTCTCGCAGGCACCAGAAACATCCTTTGAACATCATCTCAGCAGTGTTCCCATGTGTGAGATCTGAAGGGTGATTCAACTCTGCTGAATTTGGTATTGGGTCAACGAGGAAGCCTCAAAGAGCTGTGCTCCATTGACCCGTCGATTCAACGGCATCACTCGCCCCGAAAGACATCGGTGGCTTCCCAAGGATAGTTTAACGGGCTTTGGGTGGCCGGAGTGGGGGCCGGCCAAGTTATCCTCTGCACTGCAAGCAGGAATGGCTGATCTTTCCAAACAGTGGCTTCGATAGCCTCTGCTGAACTACCCTGGTTCCAAGATCGCATACTCGAATCACTAGAAGGTTACAGTTTTGTGACTGTTGTGATGGACACGCAGAACTGGACTTGAAAGCTTGGGCAGCTAGGGCAAACAAACTAAGCCGAGTTGATAGAGCTCGTGCGTCATTGTGCGCATGATCGACAGGAAGGGCGAAAGCACGTGGATGTACTCGGCCGCGTAAAGACAAAGGCAAGTGCCGTGCTTGAATATGCCAGTCAGGTTGACACCCTGAATATTCGTCGACAGACGCACTTGCCATGCCTAAACGGTCCCGCCAGGTCGACGCCCGTAGCATTGCGTAACTCCACTGATGATATCAGAACACGAAGAAGGCAAGCAATGTCAATGAACAACCGGCACAATCCTAATGCCGCGATTCCTGCAATTATCATGTTGATCCATGTTGCTAAAACAGATTGACTTTGGGGGAGCGGGGCCTGGAGGGAGGGGCGCCCCCAGCCTCAACCTGGTATAAAGCCACTGCCATCCTGTAGTGTGCGTGGGGGAGGGTCCCCCTCCTTAGTGCCTCTGAATCAATCATTCGGGGCCCCGCCCCCCCCCCCCCTTTTTCAACTGCTGTGAAGGACCAGATGAGGTCGCAAACACAGCTTTCACCTGGGTCATCCTGGGTCCCTACGACTTAGGTGAAGTGGTAAGCGGCACCTCCCGCAAGCTCCGCTGAGCTAGCTTTCGTAAAGTAGTCTTTGCATGGTTAGATGTGCCTCAACAAACCGGCGGCTTGGGAAGTGTTGAGGCCCAGAAAAAACAATTGTGAGCGTCCTGCAAGGAGATGCCCCAGTAGTTTGTCGCCCTCAGCACGCGGCCCAATTTCAATGCAACGCGCAGGAACTCGGCCAATCTCTAAGCCAAGCTTGCATCTTGGGCTGCTGCTCTGGCGGGCGTCCACCGGGGTTCAGGACCCGAACACCAACGGTGTAAGCCTCCCAATGCGCGCAGGTTCTGTTCTCCATCTCAAGACTTGTTTGCAAACATTCAACCAAGGCCTTGCCCGCGTCAAGACTAGCGTTTGAGAAACGGAGCGTCAGGGGATCGTTCACTGCACCAGACCTTCCCATCTCTGCGCTGCTCTTGCGTAAGGCATGAAATGGCATGAAGTCACTATGCCATCGCTTCTGCAGCTTTTAGAACCAAACCGGCTGAATGTGCACTCGCTTTTTGTCTTCTGTCGTTCTGCCCTTCGGTCGCAAGTGAAACTTCCCTTCTGAGTTTACGCAGGTTACGTCCTGCGCATCGGCTTAAGCAGCGCCCTGCAGGTCAAAAATGCAACTCCACAGGCAATCCAGTCGAAAACTCGAAACCTTCTGTCCATCTGATGTCTCTCGGCCTGCACAGCCCACAGGAACAGCAGAAGGGCAATCATTCCTGCAACGAAACTCAGGGTCAAGGAGGCTCCTCTGTCTGCAACCATTGCAACGAGGACAGGCGCCTCCAGATGACTTCGCAGAGCCTTTCTCTGAAGATCCGCCTTTCAGCTGTAACCCTCCCAGTCAATTACGTCCCCGAGCATGCGGCCTCTATGCCACCGAGAACAGGCCCTGAGAACTCAGCAACAGAAAACACAACAGGCTGCAACGTACACGTACATGTTCCTCTGCATTGCATGCTGCTCTGCTTTCCTGTCTTCCGCCATCACTGCCTCCTTCATCGCCTCCACGGTCACTTTGATTGGCATCTCCTTCCTCCCCTGGCTCCTGCACGCTCAACATCACAACGGATATCACCGGATGCCTCGGCCCGTGCCTGCTGGGACCCAGCGGCACCGCTCTTCTCTGCTTCACTTTGGCAGACACGGAGCTCTTTGCTCCAAGACCAACCAGCATTGCAGCAACACCTTCGCTCGCATCGCTGCCGGGAGAGCTTGGGTAAGTTGGTAACATGCGGCGGAGTGGCCCGGGTCCACCTGAGCAGGATCGAGAGATTGTAAAGTGCTCTGACGAAAGCTGAGCCTTGTCCAAGGCCCTGACATGGATGGCTTCGCTTGGCATTGCAGATTCCTGCCTTGACCCTCTTTTCCCAAAGCTGTGAAGCCGGGATCCTGTCAGAAGCTGCAAGAAACGGGAAGCGGACTCTTGTGCACGATGACCTACTCCATGGCAGCAGGCCCAAACAGTAGAAAGATGACAGGAAGATCGCTTCGGGAAAGAGGACTACATTTCACAAAAGAGAGCAGAAGCAAGCGACGGCAAAGAGACTACGCAGGCTAACGGTTTGGCCGCAGCTGTGCTGTGCCCCCTAGTGCTGCAGGACTAGCCGCGCGCCGTAATGACCCAGCAACAGCGTACACAAGTCCTTTCCAGCAGTTTTGTAAATGTCAGACCAAGCCACATGTTCTGCAGCACGACAGGCGCCTCGGAATCGTTCCAAAATTCACCGAAGCTATGCAGATCATGTTGTGACAGGATTGAAGTAAGCTCGTGCTTGCTAAGCTGCATCGTTCTTGCACTTGCTGCACTTGTCGATCGTCTCGATAAACACGCAGCCAAACCTGATAGGCTTGAAATGCACGGGGTGGGGATCCTTCGTGTCGTCTTCGTCGAAGCTTGTTTCCATGTTCCCATCCACCCGGAGGTGAAGGCTCGCTAATATCGCTCAACTGAGCAGGTCCATGGACGACAGTGCATCTTCACAGGCTTGCGATACGTTCTCTTTACTTGTCTTTGTGACCAGCATCTCCGAGTCTCCATAACGATGCCCCGAACCACGCTCAAAAGGATTGCTCGGCCTAGGCCCAGTATGAACCCTGATTATGCACCTATCGCTTTCAAAGGCTCAGTGCCTCTGCAGGTTGCACAGATTCGCGGTGCAAGTACTGGAGTGCCTGCAGCAGCAGTGCTTGTGGTCCTTGCCGCAGGAATATGCCTGCATCAGCATCCCAAGGCAGATCTCACAGCTACAACTGCCAGCAGGTGCCTTTGCTATCAAAAAACCCAAACAAGAGCATGCTGCCTCCCGTAGCTCGCAGGTATTCAAGCTTTTCGTCTTCTTCCAGGTCTGCGAGCCCGGGATGATGGCGTCCTCCTGCAAAGCGCAGCCGGGCCGACTGATGCCGACTGCTGCGTGGCTTCTGTCCTCTCTTGGAGGTGCCGAGTCGGCAAGAGACTGCTCTCCTGGTTCTGGCCCCTGGGTGGGCTAGATCGGCTTGATCATTCAATGCACGGAGGAACCAGCCTTGGAAGAAGGAGGCTCCTGCACAGGACTGGGCTGCGTCTGCAGAATAGCAACGGAAGGGATGAAGGCATGCAGAGGCGAATGCAAACAGAAAGGGAACCTCGCACTTCGCATTCTGCACGTTCCACTCGAGGTATCCACTGCAACAGCACCTGAAATCCACGCTGTTGTTTGAAGCCGTTGCACTCACCCGCATCAGGACAACCACGACACATCCCCGCCATCATGGCTATGTGTACAAGTCCAACAAAACATGCATCCAAGTCCACTCACGCGATTGCTGCGCTGCATTATGACGACAATCTGTCCTCCCCGCCGGGACCCAGGACGAAGCCGACGAACTCTGAGTCTGTGGGTGATTTCTTTGCAGTCAAGCTTCGCACTTCGCGCAGCAAACACAAGCTCGGTATGTGTTACAGGAGCATGATCTGTAGAGAGTGCACAAGAGTAAGGGATCCAGTTGCCAGTGCTTCACCGTCAATTAAGCCAGTCAGCATCTTCGCAACTTGATGTGCCGAGGAATGCAGGAAGACAAGCAATAAAAAGCTGAGATCATACTCTGGAATCCCATAGCGGTCGTAACGGTCTGCATCGACAAGAAATCGAAAGGATCGGTTCATGCTATAGTACCGACCGCAACGAATCCGTTGATTCATGCGGCAACTTCATGCATATCTTTGAGTTCATGTGTCAGTGCTTGATGCCAGCACTGTCTCAAACGATTCAACTTGACTGGTGAGTCGACGCGTATCAAACTCATTTCCGTCGGTGTTCGGCGTAGCTGAGATCGGCTGTCCACTGCTGCACACTAGCCTGCTGATTGGGCGTGCTTTACACTGCTGGTTTCAATATTTCGCTTCTGTGAAGCTGCTTCTGCTGGCGGCCCCTTGGCAGGGAGTGCACGGTGTCTAGCCGGCGAAATTTATTCAGCACCTGTCGAGTCGAGGCTTCGCTTGATTCGGTTCCAGGTTTCCGTTTCCGTCTAGTCTAGACCTTCTGTGGAATGCGGAGACACGCGTGATCTCCACGGCTGCATGCACTGTGCACTATGCGCATGTAGAAACATTTGCACAAGAAGGCTTCGAGACTAGATGAAATGGAGTGCACACCTCCCTTTGGTACAATAAGCTTGGGACCCAGTGCCACACTTATGGGTGAATCCTCAGCCACTCGCAGGGTCTGGCTCATCAAACAGTACTGCGCAGGACGGTGCAACACGTGTAAGCATCTGACTGCTGCTGTCGCAGGGACCAAAACTGAACAGAGAGGTGAGTGCAAAACTGCGAGTGCGCAGACATGCAGACATAGCAGCTTCGCTCCGGAAGGCCTCGAATAATCCCTTGAGCCCTTGATCTGCTTCGCCACGACACTGGGATCTTTGTCTCCTTCAATTATCACAATGCTTGCTCATGAAGAGTTTTCCGCGATGCAGACAGGTCCTTTGGTCGAACGGACACATGTGTGCCCCTTCAGAGATGAACCGACGTCGCAGCAGCAGTGGTCCCTGGTTCCAGCAAAACAATGACGGACAATCACTGAATCTTAAGAAGGAGATGATGCCCCCAGCAACGACATTTCTGTCCAAGCAGCATCGTCTCACCGCAGGGATGCGCCTAAGCCGACTTTCCAAGGGATTCCGAGGAGACAGGGAGAGAGGAAGCAACTATCCCATTCGAGGTCAAGTAACATTCCTCTGCAGGCAATCATTCCACCTGCATGTGACAAGGAATGCACGGGCCCCTTGCGTCACCATCTGTGTGTCATGTAGACTGGCCTGGACGAAGCTACTACTAGACATAGAGACGAGTCTTATCTGCAACGGTAATGCAAGGCTCATGCTGCACCTTTGAGACCCCTTGTAGATGCCATGTTCTCGTGGACCAAACTTGATGCAAATCAGATTAGTGTCCTTCCTGCTTGGACTCGAGCGCTTCATCCTTGCGATCACCACTGTGAAATGTGGCGATCGCCTATTTCACGGTATCGCTGCCCATGCCTGTGTGCCCCGTACTGTTCGATCACAAGTAATTGGAGAAGTCTCTGGAATTGTCGATACGAGCACCCTCCCAGTCATTGAAAGGTGAGCACTTATTGTCAGAACGAGATGTATTCGGCTCTCGAGAATCACAGAATGAATCAAAGCGAACTTGTCCGGAAGTCACCCAATCCTGTCTAGTGCGATGGCAGAACATATCTTCGCCCTGTACTGTCACCACATTCACCACTATCTGGGAGAACTGCTTCAGCAGGCACTCAAGCAGCGCTTCTGCGTTTCCACAAATGTTCTCTGCTGCAGTGACAGGGTCGTGGCAGTGGCTGAGCACTTCCGGTCGAGCCTGTTGGAACCGGCGATTGGCTCGTCCATGCCAACGGGTGCATCCTTCCGCATGTTTGAACAAAAGGATGTTTGGCCAGCCTGAGCCGACGCACCGCATCCTGGCGCAGCTCCACATCCGGGTCTTCCTCTGAGTCGTCCGGTGCAGCTTGGGCAGTCCCTGGATCACACGCACCGTCGTGGCATACGTCAATCTAGAGATGGGGAGGTGGACACCGAGAGGCAGAAATCTTGCGATCCGAAACCCTGCCTATCGTGGCAATCCTAGGGGTATCCTTGCTGGCTCCTGGCATCAGTGGTGTCTTTAGTGTCCCTCGACAGTGCAGTCAAGAAGGGCCGAAGCGCCTGCGGAAGCCTTCTGGCACGGAGGTGTGTCCTGGATTCCAGAAGTTTGCTTCCAAGTCTCGCATCAGGCTTTGATGGACCGCAACTCACGTCAGCACAAGCAACACGAACTCCGCAGCTTGCGACTGCCACACTTCTTTAGGTCCATGTCCTGCGATCCTTTCGTGTGGCCTGGCACATGGCAAGTGGCAGGACATGGCAGGACTGTGAACCCGATGCCAAGGCGTGGAGAACCGTCACAAACCTGCTTCTGCGGTTCCACCCGTCGGGGTATCTTTCTTCACCGATGCAATGCCCTGACAGTCTGAGCATGCACTCAAAAGGGAGCTAGAGCGCAGCTAGCAGATGCGAGCAGCTGCGAAAGAAACAGAGCGGCGGCGCCTCCGCCCCGGAGGCCCCGGAGGCCTCCTCGCGTCTCTCGGCTTCCTGGTCAGCTGCCTCGCGAACTGCGCGCTCTCCGCTGGGAGGGTTTTCGCAGCGGCACGGGCCGACGGAGCCTGGACCGCAGCCGAATTGGCCTGAAGCCCGGCGGCCGTGGAGCCTGTGGGCATGGACCAAGCGAGGGAGAAGACAGCGAGAGCTCACGGAAAGGCCTTCGGCTTCGTCCTGATAGCTTGGCATGGTGACTGACAGGCATGCCAAGCATACCACTGGGGCCCGAGGCCCAGACATTCGCTTCAATTCGGGCGGGCGGCCCCGGTGGAGCAGTGTCCCAGGCAGCGTGGTCTTGAAAGGAGTCTTGCCAGGCTTCCCAAGTGTACCTGGGCTCGGAATCAAGGAGTACATCATCGTCATCGTCTTCACTATCATCATCATCATCATCATCATCATCATCACTATCACCAGCGGCATGAAACAGCACCAGATGACAAGACCTGAGACACGAACTACAGTCGTTAAGAAGGGACGTGCGACCTAAAGCAGCAGTCATGCGATGAGCTCCCAGCAAGTGATTGTCCGGACCACGTCGTCGTTCCTGGATGAAGCGCGAGGTACTGGTCAGGAACCAAGTGCGTCCAGGCGTCCTTGAGGAATGCAGCATCCTCCCACATGGACTTCCCTCAGATGACACAGCAAACACGAGCTGACCGCCACGCAAACCCATGCAGTAAATATACAGAGTGAAATCTGGCACCTGGCAGTGAAACCCTAAACCTGTGGATGTCTTGTTTGGGCTCATTCTTGCCCTGCCCTTCCCTGCCTACCTGCCAGGGTTTGGTAGCATCATTGCTTTGCCTTGCCTTTTGGGCTACCATGCCTTGCCATACTGTGCAAATAAGTCCTGCTTTCACTACTATACCCTCGCCTTCTCCAGCCCCTGCCCTGCCCTTCCTTCACCCGTTCTGATGCCTAGGAAAAGCCCCGAAACGACACGCGAACATCATGAAAATCATAGGATGCCGCGCTCGCTCTCTCTCTCTCTCTCTCTCTCTCTTACCAGAATCACTTCACTGCATGGAGTGATGTTCGATGTTCATCCTTTCTCAGTTGATTTTGTCAGATTGGCTTAGTCCCTGCACTCCGCCAAGAGGCCCCGCCTCGTGCACTTTGAAACTGGTTAACTATGCAAGCCGTTTCATTGCAACGCGGTCAAAATCAGCAAAGGCATACACAAATCGGCGGGTTCGTGACATGAGCCTGTGAGTCAGTGAAATCGCGGCTACAGAGGCAGACATACCGACTGAATTCTGTTGATGTGCGTTGGCAAACACAAGGCTAGCATTCCACTTCCTGGCAACCCCCCTGATCAAATTCCTGAGCTCCCCGGCAATTGTCGTTCTTGAAAACTTTGTGAAACTCCTGCAAGCAACGACTGTTGCTTGGGAGAACGGCTGCGTCTTTCAGAAGGTCCTCCTTGGTTTTCATCTCGCCCGTCCTAAGGGGCCTTCTTTCCTGAGAAGAGACGCGGACATGCCAGGGTTCACGACATGAACCTGTCAGCGTCAGCCTTGGGGTCTGTTCCAGCAGCCATCACTACCTGACCAGAGCAGCTTGCTAGCCCGAAAATCTGTGCAAGCTATGCTCGTCACTGGACCATGACAACTTCCGCATCCGGCTTGGCATTGTTGGCTCGGCATCAATGCGGATGCAACTGGCAAAATAAAGCTTGCGCAGTTGTGAGTGATGTCCCGCGAAACACGCCCGACCGACGTCTACGAGCTTGGCCGTTGACTTTGCACAACTTGCGATGAAACAAGCCCGAGACCACGTTGACGCCGTCTTTTGTCGAGAGTGTCGCAAGTCGATGAAAGAAAGACGCACAATGACGCACAGTCGCACAGTTGTCGCTCTTGGTTCGTTAGTTTTTTGGCGAAGCGATCTCGTCCTCCTTGAAGCAGAGACTCCTGCTGGTACGAAAATGATAACCGCGACTGTCTGGTGTAACAAAGGCCTTTGACTCCTTCTCCAGTCCGCATACCCATGCTTCTGACTCCCTCTTCTCCTCCTCTTCACTGCCCCTGCTACCCTTCCATTGCTCTTGTGTTTGCACCAGCACGGTCCCAAAAAGCCCGGCGCGACCGCAGTGTCTAGCACTAACAGGAAACGGAATCCAAACTTCTCCCATGCTGAACAGCCTGATCGTGCTTGAAGCCTCGGCAGTCGCATGCACGGGCTTCAAACACACAAAAATCCGGTCTGATACTGCTGCATATCGTGAGGTGATCGAGGACCTCACTTTGACGTCGATGGTGCCGAGCCATGGAGGAGCTCTTTCCCCAAAGGTCCTGCCGCCGGTGGCAGCCCATATGCACTGGGGTGAGGCAAACAGGGAATGGGCATGAGGGCTAAACTCTTGCTACGGAAGTCTGCGGTTTGCACCAAACAGCCAAACAGCCCTGTCCAGGAAGGAGGAAGCTCCAAACCATGAATGCGGGTCTCCATCTGCGTGCAAGCTTGCCTGCCAATGCAACAACTGCCTACGATCCAGATGTTATCATCATCATCATCATCATCAGCAGCAGCAGCATAGCATCACCACCATTCGTGTGCATGCGCGTATGTCTATATCTCTATATCCATATATGCACACTCTTTTATGTGCTTCTTTACCTACTTACTTATGTATTTATTTGTCCAGTCATTAATTCGATTTGGTTGAAGGGTTTCAAGTCACGTAGCTGGCATGTCTGGACTGCCCACAATACATCACAATATCTCATAGCTTTCGACAACAAAGACCCGACATGGCTGCCTGGCGAATGCCGTCGGCATCAAGCGACGGGCGCTCCGCCAGCGCCTTTGCAAAGGGTCTGTTGCGAAAACCGGCGTGAAGCTACAACATGATGCCCTACACAAAAACATGTGATGGAACGCCAAGCAGCGGCCCCATAGGCCGATAAGAAGATCAGCCATATCATCACGTCCTTCCAGATCATTGCAACTTGCACCCTTGATGCAATGATTCTTACCTGATCCGGTACAAGGTGCATCGTTTTCCAAGTTCGAGGTTTAGGATCAGAATCAGAATCAAGACAGCCGGCACTCACCGACACGTAAAGCCATTCCCTACAGCCAGTGCATGCATCGGCCGATTGACGGGTCGCTTTGAGGCCGTAGTCCAGCCCATAAATGCAGTCAAGGCTCGTTATGAACATCTGGATTTGGGAAACTAAACTCAAAAGCTTTGAGCCAAGAAAACTTGCCTCCAGAACACCAGTACTGTCCCCGTTTGCACACGACGGCCGGTGCAATTCTGCCTCTTCTTTCCTTGCAAGCTTCTTACTTGTAGACGCTGGGCCCCATGCTCGCAGCTAGGCATGAACACGAAGCCAAGCGGGCTGATCCCGGTGCCTAGGATTGAAACATGCAAAGGCAGACACGTCCACCGTTTGTTTGCCTGGGAACATGCTCATCACTGCACAGAGCATCCGCCCGGGGCACGGGCACAGTACACGGAAACCAGCATTCGGCGGTGGTGTAACAACCTGCCACAAATTGAAATGAACCGTGCGCCGAAGCTTGGCTCGCTCTTGGTTCCCTTGTGGCTCGCACTGTAACAGCGAATCAGGGCACATGTACTGGCACATGCTGTAGCCATGCCCGGCTGACAATATGCACCACCGGAGACGGGGAAGGCCGCACAGGTGTGAATGTGAAGAATCCAGAGGCTGCCTGTCGCACCGTGAAGATGGGAGATCTCCAACAGTAGCACGGTTCGTGCAAGCCTCCCCCAGCTGATTGTTGCCTTTGTATACGACGCCCATGCCTTTCTCAGATAGGCTTGATGGATGGGTAGATAAGGGTTACTGAGAGACCGATGTATAGCTAAGAGCACAAACGGACAAGTAGCTAGGTACACAGATGCAGGTAACAACAGGCAAGTAGGCAAGCTTTTGCTTCGGGACTTGAAGTGAAGGTTTGCCGCGCCTTTCAGGACTTCGGGTTTACGGGTATGGCGTACGTTCTTCCTGTTCGGATTTCTGGAGTTGCATTGCCGGTCCTGTCAACAAAAACAAGCTGGGCTTGAGAAGGGAGCGAGGGACATGATGATCTGACACGTTTCGCATTGCGAAGAGCACTTTACAGCAGAAAGCGACAGCTTTGAGATGGAACAAGGGGCTGTTGAAGTTGGAAGCTTGCATGCCCTTCATGTTCGTTCATCTGCTTACGTCTTGAAGGCAAGTGAGACCCAGAGAGCGAAGGCGAAGACTGCTGTGCTTGCCGAACACCAGTTTAACTCCACGACCGGCTGAACCTTGTTTGTATTCGAAGGTATGCCACCCAGGAGAACTGGCTGGCCAAAATGCTATCAATACACACACACGCACACACACACACACAAAATGAATGCGATCACTATAATTCCTCTTCTCTCCGAACGCGTGCTCCTATGCACTACGCACACCAACGCGAGCAGGTAGTTCTGCACTTGGTCCATGGCCCATGATCTCATAGCTCAAAGCCTCAGAAGGCAGTTTCAGTTGCGACCTTGGGCTGACTCCGGATGGAGTCTAAAGTACACATCCAGCCGTGCCTGCGACCACCGTACATACTGACTGCTCTCCTTGGCAGGCAATGCGGCACACACAAGCTGGAGCCAGTCTCAGTACCGTCGCTGGGGCAGTTGCATCTTGGAAAAGGGCCACATAGAAGTAGTTCGGCGAGGGTGTCAATCCAGGGTTGCTGACTCGAAGGTCTACCGTGATGTCCGACCCACGCAGCCTGCAGCATGAAAATCTGAAAGCCATGAAAAGAAGTCACACCAGCACGGAGCCTGGGACGTGCCGTGACCAAAGTCGCCTGACATGAAGAGTCGAATACGAGCTCTCCATGACACAATTATACACAATTGAGGCCTGGTTCAAGAAGCCGGTGCACTTCGAGAAGATGGGGCTTCCACCATATCGACAGGAGTCCTCGGCAGTCTTTGGGAGTAGCACCGCCAACAAGCCGAGCTCGGGATGGGATGGGCTGAGAATCGCGCGGCAAAGACAAAGCCTTCCGGTGCAGTGACCTTAAGTACAGCGATAAAAACAGAAAGGCAAGATTCGACTACTTGGCGAAAGTACCTGCCCACGAGGCTTCACAGAACTGAACCGATCATGCTGGCCTCCATTCTAACGCTTTCATCGGCTTCCACACCATCTGCCACACCGAAATTGATGGTCAGCTTGATCCTTGGCCAGACCGCGCTTCGCGGCTTCAGCGTCTCGTGGAGACGATGCGCCCTTCGATCAAGGCTGAGTGCAGTGCTCGGCCCCTGGTGTTTGCAACGAGGGGGTCACCGAAAAGGGCACTTGCCTTGGAAGACACGGGGGGCCGAGTCTGAGAGTGCCATCAGACCTCAATAAACTGCCCCCGAGATCGAGGCCCCACAAGTAGGAAGCCACTGAAGGCACCGTCGCTGGTTCCTGTTGCCTGCAGGGACCCAAAGTACTCCAGGTGCACTCAATCTAAACATCCCTGGGGCGCGCCGTGATTGTTCGGCCGATCCAGGGATAGATGGGCATGGAGGCGTCGACCACGGCTCCATCCTCGTCAACCAGCGGCTCCACCTGCGCAACGACCAGAGTGAACAAGCATTCTGAAGGGAATAAAGGCAGCAGGCAGGTGATGAAAGCAGTCTGCAGCTTCCTGGCTTAGGAGAGGACCCTCCACGTTCTGAAGTACCAGTTCATCACCTGACTTTCGGAGAGTGCAGCTGCCCCTGGAGTTTCACGATATCGCCTTTTCTGCGAGAGGTGGCGATGCCACACCAAGCTGAAATCGGATTGTGGTCCCGGCCTCAGAGCTGAATGCATCAGAGCACCATCCAAAGCCACTGCTTGGCAAACCCTGGCTTTGGTGCGAACGGGCACCGGCTGGGTCAGAACGGCAAAGTAGTCCTTGCAGGCATGAACCGCCAACACCCAACTCCACAAACCAGCACTTACTTGCAAAAGCTGGAAGGTGCTTCACTGAAGTGAATACAGGTCCATTCTGATTCCATACGCAAAGCAACGCTTTCACGACCGCGTTGGAGCGGATGGACCCATGGAGCTAGAAGTGGGCAAAGGCCAACACCGGCTGTCCGGACTCTGCATTGGCAAGTGTAGCCAAGCTTCCATGGTGTTCATGATTTGCTGCTGGCTTCTGTGGCATCCGTGTATTTCCGTTTTGGAGTTGTCCGTCATGGCTGGAGCTTGAAGTCATTCTCTTGTCTTAGAGGTCGTGGAATCTCCTTTCTGACCCTCGGCTGTAACCCCACTTGATGCATCCCATCTCCGGTGTCTACTGTTCGAGTTCTGCTGTTGGTATGGCCCTGGTACGGCCACAGCTCGACCTTTGTTCCCGAAACAAAACGTGCGACGTAAACGCTTTAATGTCCAGGATGGTGCAAGGATGCCAAATTTAAGAAGGCGGTTCCATGGCCGCATGCTGCACCTGTTCGACCAAAATCGCCTTCTCGCAACAGTCCCGCGTGGGACTCCGCCCGAAACGCCTCGCCAAATGTACTTCAACATCTGGTAGGCGGGTAGGCGTTGTCTTGGATGTACTGGCAGTGTCATGCTACACTCACAACCCGAGGTGAGTCTTGGAGCTTGGTGGTTTTGGTGGTTTGGAGTGGTCCTGGCATAATCTCTTCTCTGTTGTGCTCGTTGCAGTGCTCGTCTCCGAGTCTGGCCGGAGGATTCCTTCTCTGCACGTCCGGGCTTGGTGCTAGGCCTCGCCTCAGCAAAAACTCCTCCGTCCGCTCTGAAGACTGCCAGCCCCTTCTGACAAGCAGGTCCTCGGGATTGTTGAAGTCAGTACTCCACTGCCGCCGAAAATCTAAACCTCAGAAGCCCGCACTGTTCATGCTCACATACAAGGCAGCATTTCGAGGTGGAAATGACATGTCTTCGTTCGGCCACGGCTAATATCCGACCTGACGCTTCAACTGGCCCTGAAGATGAGGCCGCTGCCATTCTCTCCAAAGCTGACAGATCTCAGAGCCCGCAAGCCTCCCTCATGCCTCGGTGTTGGAAACATCTTGACATCTCCAACCTGAGCGGAGCCTTGTGAACGTACCGGGGCCGTTGCATTGTGTAGCCTGGAGGTCTTTGTATCACAAGCACATCGTTGACTTCATGTGGCGTCTCCTGTCATGTCATCCAGCATACAAAGGCAAGGCCCCAAGCCAGGAACATAGCATGCACACATTTAACTTTCCGCGTGGTGCACCCCACGCAATTCGAACGTCACCAGGGCATCGTTCCTGGAGGACCATCTCTGCGCAACAATCACAACAGAGTGAAATTCAGACTGGGTCGCAAACACTCCATAATAGATAGGATTTATGAACGAGTTCGAGAGTGCACCTCAAGTCTCTGCAAGCACTGGCATAGTACAGTGGGCTTTGGAAGGTCGGGTGAAGGTCACATTGAGTTGTCATGCACTGCCCTTCACAGAGAAAGGCTGAGGCTGATGTATCCGAGCACAGCCATGCCGTCAAGGTCGAGCCTCAACGATACATACACATCTCTGCTCATCTCCCCACGACAAAAAAGAGTGCGAGAGAGACACAGAGAGAGAGAGAGAGTTACATAGTCAGAGAGAGTGAGCGAGAGTGAGAAGAAGAGAGGAGGAGAGAACGAGTGGGTATGAGTGTGTACCTGTGTGTGTGTGTCTCTCTGCTCTCTGTTGTTTTTTGTGCGTGTGTGTGCGTCTGCATGCCATGTGTTCGTTCGCTCGTACGTTCTTTCTCTCGCTCCTTCGCTTGCTAGTTTGTTTTTTGGTTGGCTTGTTTGGTTGGTTGGTTATGTTGGTGTGTTGGTTTGTTGGTGTGTTGGAGGGTCGGTGCGTGATCATGTGTACACGCATGAGCATTGATCAATACTCCTTCTCCTGGATACTATTTGGCCACGGAATTTTGCGTTCCTTCGCAGGCGCATCGCGCAACCTTCGCAAGTCAGCAGCAGCAGAGCAGCGGCAGCAGCAGCAGCAGCAGCAGCACCAGCAGCAGCGGCAGCAGCAGCAACTCAATCAGAAACACTTGCACGAGCACGTGCGTCTCTACTAGCAGCAACATCGTAGCAGTAGCACTAGCACTTGTCGGGGTCGTGTGACCATCGTGGCGCCATTCTGGGATCTAAGCCAGATTTTCTTCGTATTTCTCGAAGTCAGGAATCCTGAAATTTATACCACTAATTCATAACCCCAAAACCCAAAGCAACAATCTTAAACCCCAAACCATAACCCCTAAATCTTGTGCCCTGAAATCTAAATCGCCCATGGAGGTTTCCACAACAGAGTGGCAGTCGCTGATGGCAGCGCTCTGTGCGGTGGTAGGCGGCTTTTGACTTGATGCCAGACCCTGAACCCCCCCCGGTTTAGGGTTAGGGGTCTCGGGGTGAAGGGGTCTCGGGGTTTAGGGGTTTAGGGTGTAGGGTTCCTTTAGGGGTTCCTTTGAGGGATCTATAGGGGTTTAGGGATTTAGGGTTTAGGAACTGAAGTGAAGGGGTTGGGCGATTGGGGGAACTCGGAACCTGCAGCCCTCAAAACCTGAATCACGTCAAAGTGCTATAGGTCGGACTCTACTGAGGAGCAAATCAGGCCTCGGTCACCAGACGTGGCAGTGAGCGTGATGGCAGATTATCTCAATGCTCTGAGCGCATCCAGCGACGTGACTCATCTGGCTCTGTCGGCGTGTGACATGACGGCGGTTCAGTACAGCGAAACCATTGCACCGATCTTTGAAAAGTTGGGAGCTACCTTATCCTCCATGGTGGTTCGAGACGGAAAGGTGACGCTGTCGGATGCGAGGCATCACCCGATCTATGTCAGCTTGCAGCTGAATCCTCTTGCTTGCAGCGCTACATTGGGGGTCATCCTGGAGAAGTCTCAGTGCGTGTCTTGTCCGATCTACGTGCCACCGACACGATCTTCGAAGACACGAGACATTATCGACAAGGTCGACGATGCACTTAATCCTGCCACGGTCATCCGGTCGACTTGGATACAGATGTCCACGACAATCACGGATGAATCTCTGACCAGGGTGACATAGTTCTCTAAATTAGGGTCCCTGTTTAGGCCCCCAGTATAGTACGGCACCCTTATAGGAAAGACCCCAAAAGGGACCCTAATTTAGAAAACTACCCATAAATCCGAGATAAGCCTTGCACGCCTTCCGTTTTAACGCTAAAGCCCCTAGTAGCAGCAGGTACCAGTCCCCGAACCTTGCTTGAATACGTAGCAACAGTCCCTAAGGATCCATGTGCCCAAGTAGTATATACTTTGGCCTTAATGTAGTCCCTATATAGGCACTTCAGGGCCAAGGTATAAACTATTTGGGTACATGGACCCTTAGGGAGTATCCTCTCATAGTCACAGGACAGCTGCTGCATAGTATGCCGCAACACTGTAGGTTTTCGAATCCACATGAGGATCGAACCCTAAACCCTAAACCCTACCCTAAGCCCCAAACCGCAGAACTGTAGGTTCTCGAATCCACATGAGGATCCTTATGCTGAAACCCCTCAAGCGGAACACCAACGAAGCCCACTTGTTGAGCCAGAGGCTGATATTATACAGGACCCAACCCTAATTTTAGGGGGTTTAGGGTTTAGGGTTTAGGGTAATATCGGGGCCTGAATAATTAGAATAGGGTCTGGGCATTTTATACTATACTTGTAATCAGGAACCTCCAAAACCCTGTTCTAACTATGAAGGCCGCAGGGTTTACGGGTTTCGATTTGGGGTTTAGGGTGATCCTCCAAGTAACGCTCCTTCAGGGGCCCGCCGGTTTAAGTCCAGCATGCGCCGGGCGGACGTCGTGATCTCGAAAGGCTCCATCCGATGTTCGGGTTTAGGATTTTGGAGTTTAGGGTTTCAGAGTTTACGGGCTTAGGGGTTTAGGGTTTAGGGTTTAGGGGTTTAGGGTTTAGGGTTTAGGGTTTAGGGTTTAGGGGTTTAGTGTGTAGGGGTTAGAGTTTAGGGTCCAGGGTTTTAGGGTTGCGGGTTTCAGGGTTTAGGATTTGAGTTCATGGCTTCACTATGAGATCTGCAAGATCTGTTCCGACCCTAAACCCGAAACCCTGATCCTATTAATATAGGGGCCAAAACAAATACCTATACTATTTTGGGGGTTCCTTAATATAATTATAGAATAATGGGCTCCAAAACCCCGTTCTAATTATTGACGTCCCTTAAGCCCTAAACCCTTATAGCAGCTCTTATAGAGCCCGTTAAGGAACCCTTTACAGGAACCCCCAAAACCTTATTCTAGTTATTGAGGTCCCCAAACCCTGAACCCTGAGCTCTAAACCTAAACCCTAAACCCTAAACCCTAAACCCTAAACCCTAAACCCTAAACCCTAAACCCTAAACCCTAAACCCTAATTCGGGTCTAGGCTTCGGCCGTGATGTTCCGTAGGGTTTGTTCATGCCCCGGGCTTCCTCGACCCCAAAGAACCTACCTTTGTCAGGAGGGGTTCTAAAGAGGGCTCTATTAAGGGTTCCATAATGGCTTCTATTAAGGGTTTTTATGTTTCTTGTTTTGGACTTATTTAAGGAAGTCTAAACCCTAAACCCTAAACCCTTAAACCCTAAACCCTAAACCCTAAACCCTAAACCCCTAAACCCTTAAACCCCTAAGCCCTAGAAAGGGAGCCCTAAAAAGGGCAGGTGCTGAAGGGCCCAGGTTGAGGATGAGGTGACATGGCGGGTGTGGTTTCGGCATCCTTCAGGATTGCGGGGGTTGGAACCACGGTTTAGGGTTTAGGGTTTAGAATTTAGGGTTTAGGCTTTAGAGTTTAGGGTTTAGGGTTTAGGGCCTATTTAGGGTTTAGGGTTTAGGGTTTAGGTAGGGTTTAGGGTTTAGGGTTTATAAGGGTTTAGGGTCTATTTCGGGTTTTAGGGTTTAGGATTGTCTGACATGGTCTGCATCCTAAGCTTATTTCGATAACTCTATCCCTAAACCCCAAACCCCTAAATCCCTAAACCCTTGAACCCCTGAACCCCTCAAGCTCTAAGCCCTGAACCCCTAAACCCTAAACCCCCGAACCCCAAACCCCCAAACCCTAAACCCTAAACCCTAAACCCCCAAACCCCAAACCCCCAAATCCTAAACCCTAAACCCCCAAACCCTAAACCCAAAAACCCTAAACCCTAAACCCAAAATCTATGGTGAACCCCCGAACTGAAACCTTGGCATTTTTGTCGTACGTCCGGCGGTATGAGAGGAATCACCCGGGGTGTCGCCTTTTGCAGCCGCACCTTACCTGGAAGCACGAGTTTCTCTGTTGCTTCCTCGGAGCTCTTGGCGCTGAAAGCTTGGACACCATAGCGCAGGAGATCCGCGATGTGGGCTTAATGCGCCACGACCATGGAAGCTGGGCAGTTCGCCAGTCGAAAACCCTTTCAAAGATCCTTCGACATGAGGAGAACGCCTGTCTGGGAAGCTACATGGAGGCATCCTTGGAGGAGCTGCAGCGACTGAGGCTACGACCGTTTGAATGGGAGCCACGCAAATTCTTTTCCTTTGTTATGGCCAATTCGAAGGGTCGCTTCAATATCTGGGTCGTGCCCAAGGGTCTGGGTTTTGGGTTTAGGATTAATCTACAGATCTATGAAGGGGTTTATAAGGGTTCTATAAGTGTACTGGGAGGGTTATATAAGTGTACTTGGAGGTTCATGGGATTTAGTCGGTACAGTTATAAATTAGAAGTGCCTTAACTTAGGGTTGTAAGTTATTGTCAGCGTAGTTACCTCATGTCTAACCTCAGTTGCTAAGTCCCAGGAACCTTTAAGTAAGGAACAACCAGATCAACGCACGGCAAAAACACCAAAAATGCAGCAGACAACAAGGAGTAGTTCTCTACATCCAAAGTCGAATGACAGGAGCGATCCCTCAAAAACCCTAAAACCCTGAACCCCAAGCCCTGAAC